ACCTAATCTTCTGTATATCCACATCTCCAAAGAATTGATACGATTTTCCAGTTGTTTGTTCATTGTCCATGTCTCTGTTCCATACAGTAAGGTTGAGAATACATAACATTTGACAATTCTCATTTTTAATGTATTGCTTATTTCTCTTGATGTCAGTAACTTTTGCATGTTGTTGAAAATGTTTTTGGCCATCCCTATTCTTTTCTTGACTTCTGTTTCACTTCTGCCGTCACATGTTATTACTTGTCAAAGATATAAGAAATTTGAAACTTGTTCCAATTTCACCCCGTTCACTGTGATATTCATTGTTAGCTGATTATTTTCTTTGCTAAATATCATGGTTTTTGTCTTTTTCAAATTTATATCTAATCCCAATTCTGCACTCCTTCTGTTTACTTGCTCCACTAGCTATTTCAACTCCTGCTCACTCTCTGCTAGCAACACTGTGTCGTCAGCATATCTCAGATTGTTAATTATTTTACCATTGATGTGCAGTCATGGTAATTCTACAATTTCTTTAAAAATGGTTTCTGTACATAAGTTGAAAAGGCTAGGCGACAGCACACATCCTTGTCTTACTCCTCTCTGGATCTCTATCTGGGGTGAGCAGATGTTGTCATATCTTACTGTTGCTTCTTGCTCCCAGTATAAGTTTCTAATAAGTCTGATATCCTTTCCAGAGTGACCATACGTCCTACCAATCAGCCCAACTGCTTAGACACCCACATGTCTCACGGCTAGCGAAACAGCAAATGATTAATATCATCTTTATCCCTACTTTATTTTATTAGTACCAAACATGGACAATGAATAGGGCACTAGAACAGAAAGTAACTGCATGTAAAATGTGCTGTCTTCGCAAGGTCACTAACAGCACTAGACGAAGAGGGTTACGAGTACCAGCATTATAGAGTATGTTGGAATAAGACCGTGTCTTGATTATTTTGACAGACAAAGAATGAAATAGTTCGGCCATCCAGTGAGAATGCAGCCAGGTCAAACTGCATATTGATTGGACTTTTTACAGCAGAACATATAGGGGTGAAGGCAGAGGAAGACCAGAAAAGAGTTGGATAAATGTTAAAGCTGAAACCTGCAAAAAGATAAACAAATCCATCACCCAAGCCACCCGAGAAGTGCAGGTCGAATACAGAAGACCACGACACTTGGCTACTACCTGGTAACAGTGAGGCGACAAAAGAAGAAGAAATAGGAGAAGACCATACGTCCCGTTTTTCACACCGGAACAGCCACGTGTTTTAGGTGTGTCCGGCCGCCCTGATATTTGTCCCTGTTTTACTAAAACCTAGGAATAAGCCTGAGAATAGAACAAACACTCACAGCCGTAGACCTTATTAAATGTCATAGTTTTATATAATTTTAATGACTGAAATTAGGATGACCTGATTTTTCATGGTAGCATGTCTTGTTTTTAAATTGAAGATAAAAGGGCATATTGTTTCATTCATTTCTTGGCGACAATGGCTCGGGTCGAATACAGTTGTTGAGCTAATTAACCCGTTCCATCCGGTGACCTAAAAAAGGCGTGTGTGTGGAAAAAAAAATGGGTGGGGGGTAAAATAGATTTGCTTGGGATGTCCAACATTCAGCTAAATATTTAAGTGCGATGTCCCGCTTTCAGCTCAAAATATTAGTGAAATGTCCCGTTTTCAGCTTTAAATAGTGGGATATCTCGCAACTTTCAGCTCAACATATTAGGGGGAATATCTCGCCGCTTTCAGCTCAAGATATTAGTGGGATATTTGGTCGCTTTCAGCTCAAGATATAAGTGGGATATCTGGCCACTTTCAGGTCAAGATAATAGTGGGATATTTCTCTGCTTTCAGCACAAGATATTAGTCGGTTATCTCGCCGATTTCAGCCAAAGATATTAGCGGGATATCTCGCCGCTTTCAACTAAAGATATTAGTGGGATATCTCGCCGCTTTCAGCTCTAGATATTAGTGGGATATCTCTCCGCTTTCAGCTCAAGATATTAGTGGAATATCTGGCCGCTTTCAGCTCAAGCTATTAGTGGGACATCTCGCCGATTTTAGCTCAAGATATTAGTGGGATATCTCGCCGCTTTCAGCTCAAGATATTAGTGGGATATCTCGCCGCTTTCAGCTCAAGATATTAGTGGGATATCTCGCCGATTTGAGCTCAAGATATTAGTGGGATATCTCGCCAATTTCAGCTCAAGATATTGGTGGGATATCTGGTGGCTTTCAGCTCAAGATATTAGTTCGGCGTCTCGTTTTCAGCTAAGGATATTATAGCCACGCTACATATGAAAGGGTAGAGTCACATTTTGTGGATTATTTTGCTTTCGGGACATAACGTTGTCGTCATCCCTTTAAAGGGTTTTCCTTGTACCTATTTTAGGTTGGGTCGAACGCAAAGCCAGTCAATTACTTAATAAACCGACCTTGATATGGATTCGAACTCATGACTTTCGGGCCAAGAGTCAAACGTCTAGTCACTGTAGTACAGTGGCTCCACGCTTGCGTCTAATTTCTGATAGATACACGTCTAGTTTATGATAGATACATGTCTGATTTATTATAAATACACGTCTAATTTATGATGATAAATACACGTCTAATTTTTGATGAATACACGTCAAATTTATAATTAACACACGTCTAATTTATGATAGATACACGTCTAATTTGTGATAAATACACGTCTAATTTGTGATAAATACACGTCAAATTTATGATAAATACACGTCTAATTTACTGCAAACAGAAGTAATCGAATGAATCTTATTAAGATGAAGAACAAGATAAAAAAAGGGCCTATGACAGAAATAAACAGAATACAAGTGAAATATTTATGTGAAATTTAAATATAACTCTAATGAAAACTACATTAAAACAGAATATTGAAAGTGTGCAAGCAAGTGGTTATTAGATATACAAATGGGTACATAACAACGACAAAGTCGAGGAACAGCATTGTGACAGTGTAAAACTGGTCAGAAACATAAAATGCAAAAGATCACTTGCGTTCACAATAAAGTAGCAGCTTGTTTGATTATTATTATTATTCATTTTCTGGTCTGTATCTGAATGCTTGCTTGATTATTTTGTCAGTAATAAGATTGGCGACTAAAAAAAATGCTAAATGGAATGCAAATGATAATTTAAAAAAAAAAAAAAAAAAAACCAGTTTCAAGAGATACGCTTGCGATCTTCAAAAATAAACGAACACTGTTAAGGGTGGGCTTTTCGCTCTTCGAAGAATATTTTACAGTAGGAAGTTTTGCAAGTTTTAAGTAACACGATGCATTGAAACTCATCAAAACTGGACATGGTACGTCATAAAACGCTTTTATATCCGGGCGGTTGCGGAACTCCGGTGTCCCGGAACTAATAAATAGGATATGGGGAAACGGATAGCTCCCATAATACTTGGATTGTTCCGGTATTTGCAAAACAAGAAACTTGGGAAACAAACCAGCGGTTTGTATTTCAAACACTGCTAACTTCGTGCCCGAGTAATGTAGTTAACAGAATGATGCATGGTGTTTTTGTCTGTCCCTTGAGAGAACAATAATCCCATGCCATGAACACGAATTCTTCAGGATCGGGCATTCCACAGAGAATCAGCTTTTTAACTTATTAAATTAAATGCAAAACTAGCCTTGTAGACAACACAACGATGTGGTCGTCTTCGTCAGCTAACAACGGTGTCTGAAATAAAGATAAATTCATCTTTATCCCCTTCACCGGCTGTAAACTTTGGTTGAAAGTTCTAGTTGTTCGTCCACATCTGGACCTTAGTCTTGAGTTTTTCATGCAAATCCGTTTTACAGATCTGACTCCAGAACGTGAGTTTCGCGTACAAATCCATTTTACAGATCTAACATATTTGTATGCAGACAGTTGGTTCCAGACATTTGCAATCTGATTTCGAAGGAAACACCATAATTATTAGCTTTTACGACATGCTTGTTGGGAGGGGGTGCGAGCGAGTTGAAGGAGAGGGGTCCATTCTGTTGCCCTCAAATAGGTACGTGGGACACACACAAGGAAACCAATTTATTGACTTAACTCGTTCAGTACGATGTATGTGTTTCTTTAACTCCTATCCTAATCATTTGTTGTTCCAAGAAATAACTGTTTGGATCTAAAGGGCTCAAATTACAATGCAGTGTGACAACAGGACTGAAATTACAATTGGGACAAAATGGCTGAAATTACAATGAGACAAAAGGATTGAAATTACACCTAAGACATAGTGTGTTCATGTTACATTTGGATGGGGCACAGGTAGCTTAGAAAAGTGTACACAGTAAAACCTGGTTAACACGAACTCGCTAAAGAAGAACACTCGGTTAACAGGAACATAAGTTTGGGTCGCAGCAAGGATATGTTAATTTAGCTGTCCAGTTAACACACATCATGTTCTTACACGAACTGTTAATTTTTCAGTAAGCTGGAATGTGATTTTCTGAGCTTTTACTGTCAACGCCGTGCTGCCTAACAAACACATGGCAAGAGGTTTGGTACTGAAAAAAAAAATGGCTAATTAATTATACTATAATGCTATAAGGCCAAAACTATCATCAAAAAGAGGCGAAAATTACTGACATCTAGAGAGTCAAACAACATATTCAAAATTGAGAATCATCAAATGTTATGTACATTAATCCATGCTGTTTAATGCGGAAACTTAGACAATGAACAAGCAGTTAAAAAATAATTGACATGAAATGTGGATGTACAGAGGGATAGGTCGTATTTCATATAACAACAGTTTCACTTCAAACAATCTAATACAAAGCTTCTGAAATGACTACGAATGAAAAGAGAATTATTACAGAAAAAAGAAAAGAGATAATTGAAATGTTGTGGCCACATCAGATACATAAAACCCTTTTCTAAACCATACATAAGGAAAAGGTCGATGACAAGAAAGCAAGAGGTAGACAACGTTACAAGTGGAATGACAATTTCAACAGATTGACAAACAACATCAGTCTGAATATCAAGAGATTGACAAACAACATCAGTCTGAATATCAAGAGATTGACAAACAACATCAGTCTGAATATCAAGAGATTGACAAACAACATCAGTCTGAATATCAAGAGATTGACAAACAAAATCAGTCTGAATATCAAGAGATTGACAAAAAAAAAAACAAAAAAAAACATCAGTCTGAATATCAAGAGATTGACAAACAACATCAGTCTGAAAATCAAGATATTAACAAACAACATCAGTCTCAATATCAGGAGATTGACAAACAACATAAGTCTGAATATCAACATACTGACAAACAACATCAGTCTGAATATCAAGAGATTGACAAACAACATCAGTCTGAATATCAAGAGATTGACAAACAACATAAGTCTGAATATCAAGATACTGACAGACAACATCAGTCTCAATATCAGGAGATTGACAAACAACATAAGTCTCAATATCAAGATACTGACAAACAACATCAGTTTGAGATGGGGGGGGGGGGACGTGTGGGTTTAGCTCTATACTGACGAGGGCGTGGGGATCTTGCTTTATATTCAAGGGGAGCTCGAGTGTCTTGTCATATACTGGCGGGAAGGGGGTGGGGAGCTCGAGTGTCTTGTCATATACTGGCGGGAAGGGGGTGGGCGAGATGGTCTTGCTATATGCTGGCGGGAAGAGGGGTGGGCGAGATGGTCTTGTCATATACTGGCGGGAAAGGGGGGGGGGAGCTCGAGTGTCTTGTCATATACTGGCGGGAAGGGGGGGGGGAGCTCGAGTGTCTTTGTCATATACTGGCGGGAAGGGGGGGGGGGAGCTCGAGTGTCTTGTTATATACTGGCGGGAAAGGGGGGGGGAAGCTCGAGTGTCTTGTCATATACTGGCGGGAAGGGGGTGGGCGAGATGGTCTTGTCATATACTGACGGGAGGCGAGACCTGAAAAAATCTTGGAGACCACTGCTCTAAGACATATATCCTAGAACAGCCCCATAGTCTTCCTCTCCGCCAGCGCTAATGCAATTCGCATCCAGACAGGTCGTGACCGACTTTCTGGCTAGCTTTCAGTGACACGCCCACAAGGACACTTTATATCCACCAACAGTAATTCGGAAACTAAAGTTGACAACAAGTGTAAGCAATATAGCTTACAGGGTGAGATGAGATCTTGTGAAGGCAAAACTAACATACACCAGAACCATTGTGTATCTTGCCATACAAATGAGTATGAGCTGTCGCAGATGCCCACTTCATACGATAGCCAGTTTAATGTCAGGTATCTGTTCTTGTTCCCTAATGCTTTGTGGTTATGCAATTCATTGAATTATATAGGTTTCATACGAGTAAATTGTAATTGTGGTTTCTGTTGTCTGTATTGCTCCGGGTCAACGTTGTCTAAAGAGACTGCGGCATGGCAACCTTGTCTTCTGTTACAACTAGAAGAAGCTACAGCAGCAGCAGCCGCAGCAGAATAATAATAATAATAATAATATTAATAATAATAATAATAATAATAATAATAATAATAATAATGATAATTAAAGGAGGAAGAGGAAGAAGAAGAAGAAGAAGCAGAAAGAAGAAGAAGAAGAAGAAGAAGAAGAAGAAAGAAGAAGAAGAAGAAGAAGAAGAAGAAAGAAGAAGAAGAAGAAGAAGAAGAAGAAGAAGAAGAAGAAGAAGAAGAAGAAGAAGAAGAAGAAGAAGAAGAAGAAGAAGAAGAAGAAGAAGAAGATGAAGATGAAGAAGAAGAAGAAGATGAAGATGAAGATGAAGATGAAGAGGAAGAAGAAGAAAAAGAAAAAGAAGAAGAAGAAGAAGAAGGAGAAGGAGAAGGAGAGGAAGAAGGAGAAGGAGAAGAAGGAGAAGGAGAAGAAGGAGAAGAAGGAGAAGGAGAAGAAGGAGAAAGAAGGAAAGGAGAAGGAGAAGGAGAAGAAGGAGAAGGAGAAGGAGAAGAAGGAGAAGGAGAAGAAGGAGAAGGAGAAGGAGAAGAAGGAGAAGGAGAAGGAGAAGAAGGAGAAGGAGAAGGAGAAGAAGGAGAAGGAGAAGGAGAAGGAGAAGGAGGAGAAGGAGAAGAAGGAGGAGGAGAAGGAGAAGAAGGAGGAGAAGGAGAAGAAGGAGGAGAAGGAGAAGAAGGAGGAGAAGGAGAAGGAGAAGAAGGAGAAGGAGAAGAAGGAGAAGGAGAAGAAGGAGAAGGAGAAGAAGGAGAAGGAGAAGAAGGAGAAGAAGGAGAAGAAGGAGAAAAAGAAGAAGGAGAAGAAGAAGAAGAAGGAGAAGAAGAAGGAGAAGAAGAAGAAAAAGAAGAACATCATCATTATCATGTGCATTGCCAACTGGCGTACGCGCTCAAGCGTCTCCACAGATAACGATCCTTGGTTGATTGGAACAGCTCACTTGATGATATCCCTCCATGCCATCGTTTCAGCCAATCCAGCATCATCTCTCGGTCTGCCTCTACCCCTTTTTCCATTGATCTTTCCAGTTGTCACGATGTTCTCCAGTGTCTCTCTTCTCATTATGTGGCCAAAGAACAGTGTTTGTCTCTTTCTTAAAAAAGAAGAAAAAAAGAAGAAAAAGAAGTATTCTAACATGGGAGTATTTGTTAAGAAATATGTTTGACTCAATGTTTCTAATTAAATTTTGCCTTAAATGGGTAACCGGAAATGTCATAGAAAGTAAAGACCACCAGCCTATTTCAAGATTGATGATCGGTCTGGTGTGGGGGGGGGGGGGAGGGGGGGGGTTAGTCCCTTTATTTTTTTTATGGAGGCGGACAAAAAAAAGGGAGGGGGGTGTTACTTTTCTGGCGCCCTTGTTACTTCCTAACGTATTAGCCTAGACTAACTGTAATCTAATTAGTAGCTGTGGTGTAGCACCTAGATGCTCGCCTACTCTCGAATGTTGCTGGTTCGAAGTTTTTCGGCCAAGTTGACAGCCATTCCTTAATTTCAGTACTTGGAACCGGCACCTCGTTTTCTTTTTTCTCGCCGGCCACGTCGGAGGAAGGATGAATTTTGATTTATCCAGCGAATATCAAACAAACATTTCAACGAAAGAATGGAACTTTTTTTTTTTTTTTTTAGACGAATATTGGCGTGGACAAATATTGGAATATCGCTTTACAGGTTTAGCCCTATATGCACAATACACATAAGGGCATGGCAAGGGGGTCCTTTACTTTACTTTTCGCACCAGTGATGCAACGGTACATGATGATAGACTAGTATTTGTCTAGATCGATAGGATCTTAGTGGGAGATGTATCAACATTATGCCGGAGCCTTTACTTGCCAGAACCTTGTGCTTGGTACCCATTTTAGGCCTTGTGGAACTAGAAGCCAAGGATACCTTTCAACAACAACAACTAAATGTCCGTCTCAATGGGGATTTCAAACCCATGACTTCGGAACCGCAGTATGCCACTTCGACGCCTTGTGGAAACAGTACTGACAGGGGGTCGCTTAGTCAGAACTGTTCATTTATTCATTTGATTTAGTTTTCCAACAGTTTATCTGATTTAGTTTTTCAACTGTTTATCTGATTTAGTTTTCCAATTGTTCATCTGATTTAGTTTTCGAACTGTTAATCTGATATAGTTTTCCAACTGTTTATCTGATTTAGTTTTCCAAATGTTCATCTGATTTAGTTTTCCAAATGTTCATCTGATTTAGTTTTCTAACTGTTCGTCTGCTTTAGTTTTCCAACCGTTTATCTGATTAAGTTTTCTGTTTGTCTGAATTAGTTTTCCAACTGTTCATCTGATTTAGTTTTCCAGCTGTTCATCGGAACTCTTCGTTTGTTGCTGACGATGAGGTCGGAGCGCTTATGGGAGAGTCCGGAGTGCTATGATGTCGGTTTTCAACTCATAGCTATTAACCTATAACTCCCCCACTCCTTTGTGTACCAGTCAATAATTGTTAATGTGTTCTTCACACTGTTTCATTGGTCCCAAGAGTTCTGCAGCAGTTCCTGCTCGTGGGATTTCTAGATGCTCTCCTGCATTAGCCACTTCAGTGGTGTGTTCTGGTTGCCTCCAGTAGAAATGATTACATCGATTGCAACATTATCAGTAAGTTATTGTGTCTGTCACAATGAAACTGCGGTGCCCCAGATTATTCACACGTGGATCTAGTGTTGCCAGTTTTAAGATTTTTCGTGAGTGCTATGAGTAACTGATTTTATCTATTGATTTTTAGTATCAAAACAGCGACAATGGTTATTGTAAACATGTCTATATTAATTAGCTTCGTTAATAATACCACGTCTTCTTTCTGTTTCGTTTACGACCTCTCATACAGACAGACAGAAAAACAGAGAGAACAGACGGACGGACGGATGGACGGGCGGGAGGCTAGACTGAGTAAGTGACTGACTGACTGACTAACTGATTGACTGACTGACTGATTGACTGCCTGATTATAACCTGATTGACTACCTGATTGACTGATTGCCTGACTGACTGCCTGACTGCCTGCTTGCCGGCTCAACTGCCTGCTTGACTAATTGCCTGACAGCTTGCCTGATTCACTGACTAACTGATTGACTGACTGACTGATGGACTGACTGCCTGCCTGTTTAACTGACTGATTGATTGGCTGACTACCTAATTAATTGACTGATTATTTCATTAAATTGTTGACTGCCTGATTGATTGACTGATTGATTAAATAATTTACTACCTGATTGATTAATTGATTGATTGACTAATTATTTGACTGCCGGAATAATTAATTGAATGATTAATAGACTTATTGATTGATTAACTGCTTGACGGACTGATTGGCTGATTGCCTGACTGATTGACTGCCTGACTGATTGCCTGCCTGTCTGACAGATTGCCTGACTGCTTGGCTGACTCATTGATTGACTGACTGACTGATTGACAAACTGACTGACTGCATGACTGACTGACTGATTGATCAATCGGTTGACTGATTATTTGATTTACTGATTAATTGATTTAATGATTAATTTACGAATTAAACAATTGACTGGCTGCCTTATTGGTTGATTATTAATTTATGGATTGATTACTGGTTGACTGAGTGACTGATTGATTGACAGACAGATTGATTGACCGTCTGACTGATTGACTGTCTGCTTGATTGACTACCTGATTAATAGATTGTCTGATTGATTAAACTGATTGTCTGATCAAATGATTGACTGCCTGGTTGATTGACTGATTGATTATATCATTGACTGCCTCATTGACTGACTGATTGGTTGACTGATTATTAGACCTGTTGATTGACAGATTGATTGACTTACTTACTGATTTACTGACTGATTAATTGTCTGACTGACAGCAGGCTCCAGAATCAACAGTTATACAGAAGATCAGCTGTTCAGACGGACACAAAGAATACATGACGGCTTCCAGAATAAGAAACACACAGTGGCCGTCTTTGTCGACCTCTAGCAGGCCTATGACAGAGTATGGAGAAATGGTCTCCCGATGAAGATGATGAGCATAGGAATACATGGCAGATTGTATAACTGGGTGAAATACTTCCTGATAGATAT